TTGAGGGTCCTGGCGGGAGATTAACCACTTTGGGGTCTCTCACTGCTCCGAACAGATGGGCTTTGAGTAATCCTTTGTGGCTCCATCACCCAGGGGAAGTGGGGTGACAAATCCGTGGGGGGCAAAGCAACACCACTTATGGAAAAATGGTGTTAAAATCTGACCACTTCTTCTGGACCCCTTTGAGATAAATCCCACCTGCCTTATAATGAAATCTCCTCCTCACTTCTCTCAGTCTCTGTTCATACATCTGCTCCTTGGAGAGGTCTCCCTGACCACTGCCCTATCTGAAAGAGCCTCCTGCCTAGTTGTGCTCTATGAGAGTACTTCAAAAAGCTTGTGGAAAAAAATAGAATTGAAAGATAATACAAATCTTTCCACATAGATAGTACAAATCTGAATTCTATTTTTCCATGAACTTTTTGAGGTACCCTCGTGTTTGTCTTATCCTGTCTTGTTTTTCTTCACAGCAACTCACCTTTATCCAACACTGTATATTTATTTATCTCATTTATTGTTGGTCTCTGGGCACTAGAATATAAACTCTACCAAGTAGGAACCTTATCTATTTTTGTTCAGTGCTGTATCCCTGTTGGGCCGGCGGAATCAGGAGGACCAGAAAGCAGCAACAAAGTGTACACGGAGCCTCCATCTTGTTAACTCCACCCCCCTTCCCTTTCCCCCATCTCCCCAAAAGGCGGGAACCGGAAACTGAACCCTGCTCAATTCCTTACCATATATGGGGAAAAAAAAACCCACCAACAGCCCTCCCCTATAAATACCCATTTGTATCCACCCTGGGTGCGACCTCCCCGGCCTCACTCCCTTGCAGGGCTGTGGAACCTCGCCTGGGAGCGCCCCCATTAAAGCCTACCCTAATTTACTGCCTGGATCCTGATTTTCTTTGCTCCTGTTCGAGACTAAAACCTTCAAAATTCAAACCTAACGGGCCGGCCCGGTGGCGCACTGGATAGTGCGCCGCTTGGGAAGCGCGGCAGCACTCCCACCCGAGGGTTCGGATCCCACATACAGACCGGTTCCCGCTCACTGGCTGAGCGAGGCGCGGGAACAACACCGAGGGTTGCAATCCCGTTGCCGGTCCCCGGTCCGGTACGGGGGCAACACTGAGGGTTGCGATCCGTTGCCGGACACGGAAAAAAGACAAAAGACAAAAAAAAAAAAAAATTCAAACCTAACAATCCCCCACTCCAGGAATCATGTCACTCATGGTATAGGTGCTCAATAAATCATTGTTGAATAAATGACCCCTGGGGCTTCTCTCTGTCCAAGGCGGCAGTTATCCCCACTCTGTCTTAACTTCCTGGGACCAAGGGGCACTGAATGAAATGAGAACTAGAAGGAAGAGAGTGTTTCATCTGAGTGAGGGGTAAAGATGGCAGCAGAGGGTGGATAAAGGGATGACACAGGTGATGAGACAGAGAAAGAAGCACACAGAGTGGGGACAGTGGTTGGTGGCACATGGTTCAGAAGAGCCTAAAAGGTTACAAGGTTCCATATGCTCATTTTATTGAAAGACCCATGTCCCGTGCCCCCCCCTTTTTTTTTTCCCCTTTTTTGTCTTTTTTCGTGACTGGTAACGGGATCGCAACCCTCAGTGTCACGCCTGTACCGCGACCTGCAATGGGATCGCAACCCTCGGTGTCGCGCCTGCACCACGCTAAACCAGTGAGCGGACTGGTCTCTATATGGGATCTGAACCCTCAGTGGGAGTGCCGCCGCGCTCCCAAGTGCCGCACTCTACCGAGTGCGCCACTGGGCCGGCCCCCGTGCCCCTTTTTGACACATGATCTAATTCAATAGGTCTATCAGGTGGAGTCCAATGGCTGTCTCCACTTCTTCCTGGATTTATGGCAAGACCACATTTCAGATCTGAGGGGAATCCGTGACTTGGCTGCCAATGGAATGAATGTGAGCAGAAGTGACATGGACTATGTCTGGTCTGGATATTAAGATACTGGACTCCTTGAAGTAGTCTTCCCTGTTCCTGCTGGCTGGAACTCAGCTCCGACCAGAACTTTTATCAGCAATGCATCTGGGGGATGGTCAAGCAACAGGAAGGGACCGGTGTCCTAAATGAACATGTGGGGCAGAGCTGTCCCACTGCCCTGTATTGCTCACACTGGGACTGGGGTGTTTTGCTTGAACATAAGAGAAACTGAGACAGAGAGAGAGAGAGGAGAGTGAGAAGAGAGAGGAGAGAGGAGAGAAGAGAGAGAGGGAGAGACAGAGACAGACAGACAGAGACAGAGAGACAGAGAGTGAGATTAAGAGAGTGAGTTTGTGTTTTAAGCCTGTGTTGTTGGGTCCACTTGTTACAGCAGGTTTGTCTTCACCTGACTGACCCATCAAACTCTTGGGAGTCTCACTATTTTCCTATTTTCAAGATGGGGAAACTGCAGCATAGAGGGGCCAAATAAAACATGCTTGGGATTACACAGCTGGGCTCAAAATCCTCTTCCTCTTCATTCACCTCCTATCCAACCATGCTTCACACTTGTCTTCACTTGTCACAAAGTCATCTGCAAAGTCATGACAAAAGTTTATAATCCCTAGTCTCTCCCAACCATCCCCCCCACAGGTAACATTGGTGACATTTTGTTTTGCAACACAAACAGAAATGTGGGCACATAGGCATGTTAGCCATGCCAGGAAGGCTGAACTTCTTGGCAGCTCTGGGTACCTGTCAGCCCTACCTGTAAGAGCTACCACTCTCCCAACCAGGCCTAGGAACAAGGACCTAGCTACACTGCCCAACCTCTTGGTAGAGTTAAGGGAGCACAGAGGACAGCTGAGACTGAGGGTCACATCTCATATGGCAATAAGAGGACTTCGCCAAGAAAATGTTATGTACAGTGAGACCTCACATTAAGTCAGAGTGATGAGCAACCATCTGATTCTAAACTACGATACCCCCAGGGCATGATGACATAGACATCAGGGTCCCTTTCTCTATATAGTGCCACTTCTCCCCTACTGTGATTTGGGCAGAATTGACCCCACACCCACATCAAGGGTGGACAGTGGTTTTGGCCCAATCTAGGCAATCAATTCCATCTCCCTTGCCAGTTATTTCAGGGATAAGGACAGGACCCAGACCTAAGCCAGTCAGCACATGGCATCTCTCTGGTCACCTGATTAGTTCACAGGTGAATCCAAGAGAATGAAGCTTAGGACTTTTTTTTCACATCAAGGGTGGACAGTGGTTTTGGCCCAATCTAGGCAATCAATTCCATCTCCCTTGCCAGGGATAAGGACAGGACCCAGACCTAAGCCAGTCAGCACATGGCATCTCTCTGGTCACCTGATTAGTTCACAGGTGAATCCAACAGAATGAAGCTTAGGACTTTTTTTTTCCCCTTCCCAATGATGGAAGAAGTCTTCTCTCTCAAACTGGATGTGGCTGTGAAAATGTGTAGTTGAGAGAAGCTGCTGGAGACCATGATCCCCCAAGGGAAGATGACACCAAAAGGTGGAGAATCAGAGACTCACAGAGAACCAGAGCTGTAGCTTCGATGATGAGTGCCTGGATCAAACCCAACCTGATGTCCACTCAACTACAAGGCATTCAACAAACCGTCTGCCTTGTTTATGCATGGTGGAGTAGGATTTTTCCCTATTTGCAACCAAAGTGTGCTTGCTGACATAGAAGATTTTTAAAACTGAATTTATTCTTTGTGGACACCAGTGTCAGGAAGTGTGGAACATTTGGAAACATCAGGACATCAGTAACCAGTAGTATCATATGTCAAAATTAAAGGGATGGCCTAAAAGGCCCCAGAGAAAGCAGACTTTGGGGGAAACTCCATGTGTAAACAAAGCTTTAAGTCAGCCTTAGAAAACTCACTTGAAGTCACAGATATGGTCTGAATGTTGATGTTACCCCCCACCCCATTCATATGTTGGAAACTTAATCCCCAATGTAATAGTATCAAGAGGTAGAGCCTTTGGGAAGTGGTTAAGTCAGGAGAGCAGAGCTCTTGTGACTGGGATTAGTGCTCTCATAAAAGAGGCCTGCAGGTGTTGGATATGCTAACTGCTCTGATATGATCACTGCACTGCATACCATATAAAGGTACCCAATACCACATTGTACCCCATAAATATACACAATTATCATGAGCAAATTAAGAAAAAATAAATTTTAAAAAAAGAAAAAAATTCAGAGACAGAAGTATGAGAGTATTTCAGAAAGTTCATGAGAAGATTCATATTATCTCTCAATCATATTTTTTCCATGAACTTTTTGAAGTACCTTCATAGATTAGACATTACTAGAAACTGGGGGAAAGGAATAATGGGAAGTTATTACTTAATGAGTACAGAGTTTATGTTTAGAATGATGAACAGGTTTTGGAAATAGAGGTGATGGTTACACAGCATTGTGAATGGAATTGATTACACAGAACTGTATGCTTTAAAGTGATTAAAATGGCAAATCTTATATATTTTTTCCACAGTAAAAAATTGAATAAAAAATAAAAAAGGCCTGAGGGAGCTTGCTTGCCCTTTTCTACCATGTAAGAACACATAGAAGGCACTGTCTATGAAGAACAAGCCCTCACAAGACATCAAACCTGACCTTGATCTTGAACTTCCTAGCCTCCAGAACTGTGAGCAATAAATTTCTATTGCTTATATATTATTCAGTCTAAGATATTTTGTTATAGCAGCAGAAACAGACTGAGACAGTTACCTTCACATTTAATTGTAATAATAACTACAAAAACAGTCAGATGTGTATGAGGGGTACTTCAAAAAGTTCATGGAAAAATAGAATTGAAAAATAGTATGAATCGTTCCACGAACTTTCTGAAGTACCTTCGTATACTTATGGAATTCCATAAGTATTTAAACCTGAACATCATACCTGTTGCTGGTGTTCCATTTTCCCTCCCACGCCCCCTTACAATCACTGAAGCTGATTTTGACCGGACAACTGGTATCTGTATCTTTCACACACTGTTTAAAAGGACATGGTCTCCCTTAATTAAAAGCTTTATTTATTTTTTTAAATGTAACAGACCACTCTAAGAAACTTTGGCATTCAAAGCAGTAGTTATTGTGACTTGCTCACTCTGAAAAAAACAGCTTTTTCCCCTTCACAAACAACTTGCAAACTTCTACTGCTTACTAGCTTGGTGGCTTCCAGTACATACTCCAGGGAGACTGCAGTGGGGAGGGGAGTTGGGATGGGGGAAGGACAGAAAGCCCCTCCCACTCTTAACCCACTGAGGAAACTCATAGATGGTGACAAACTGACATCTGGACTCTAGGATGTATATTACAAAGGGAGAAATGTCCCAATGTCCATCTGTTGAACCAGAGCTGTGGCTCTGATGATGAGTGCCTGGATCAAACCCAACCTGATGCCCACCCGACATCAGGGACATGGGGTCCTTACTTAATTTGTTCATACTTTCTAGTTGAATATTACAACTCCAAGTTACTGCTCCTCCTCCCCTCTGCCACCTCCACTTTACTATTGAGGAACCTGGGGCATTGTGTGATCTGTCCAAGCTCTCATGGCAATGTACTCAGAGAGCTGAGTCTGGAACCCTGATGTCCTGTGTCTCTGTGTTGGAGCTCCCATAACCTGCAACCGTGGTTCAGCTACGGTGAACCTTAAAATATCTCCAAATATGTTAGACTATGAGGGGCTTGCTTTCTGTTGCTCTGTAGAAAGGGAGCCGTAGGATTCCATAATCCCCACATTCCTAAGCCTCCTCTGACCCCGAGTCTCCCAGGTGCTCCAGCCGGGGAACCTCTCACACTGACCCCGTGGACGGAGTACCCCACCCATCTGGCATCAGTCCTGAAGCGCCAGGAGGAGGACCCCGCCGCCCTCAGGTGTGAATCCTCAGGTGCCGCGTCAGGTTCGTGTTCCGACTGAAGGTCTTTCCGCACTCGCCGCACCTGTATGGCTTCTCCCCGGTGTGGATCCTCTGGTGGACCGTCAGCGAGGAGTTCTTGATGAAGGACTTCCCGCACTGGCCGCACCTGTAGGGCTTCTCCCCGGTGTGGATCCTCTGGTGCTCGATGAGGTACGCGCTCTGGCTGAAGGCCTTGCCGCACTCGCCGCACTTGTAGGGCTTCTCCCCGGTGTGCACGATCTGGTGGACGATGAGGGACGAGCGCCCGGTGAAGTGCTTCTTGCAGATGTAGCACTCGTAGGGCTTCTCGCCGGTGTGGATCCGCTGGTGCTGCGTGAGGGAGGAGTTCTTGCTGAAGGCTTTGCCGCACTCGTTGCACTCGAAGGGCTTCACCCCGATGTGGAACCTCTGGTGCTGGATGAGGTAGGAGCTCTGGCTGAAGGCCTTCCCGCACTCATTGCACACGTACGGCTTCTCCCCGGTGTGGTTCCGCTGGTGCAGCGTGAGGGAGGAACTCTTGTTGAAGGCCTTGCCGCACTCCTTGCACGCGTAGGGCTTCTCCCCGGTGTGCGTGCGCTGGTGCTCGGTCAGGTGCATGTTCTGGCTGAAGGCCCGCCCGCACTCGGAGCACACGTACGGCTTCTCCCCGGTGTGCGTGCGCTGGTGCACGACGAGGTGCATGTTCTGGCTGAAGGCCTTGCCGCAGTCCCCGCACGCGTAGGGCTTCTCGCCGGTGTGGATGCGCTCGTGCTGGGTGAGGGACGAGGTCTTGCGGAAGGCCTTGCCACACACCTCACACACGTAGGGCTTCTCGCCCGTGTGCGTGCGCTGGTGCACGATGAGGTTCATGCGCTGGCTGAAGGCCTTGCCGCAGTCCCCGCACGCGTAGGGCTTCTCGCCGGTGTGGACCCGCTGGTGGATGGTGAGGGAAGAGCGCTCGATGAAGTGCTTCCCGCAGATGCTGCACTCAAAGGGCTTCTCCCCTGTGTGAATCCTCTGGTGCTTTATCAGCGACGAGCTGCGGCTGAACACCTTGCCGCACTCACTGCAATCGTAGCACTTCTTCTCTGAGTAAGGTGTGGGGGGATCGTGGAGGCCTGAAGTGCTGGAGAAGTTCTTCCCGTGCATGACAAACAGACAGGCCCCCTTCTCTGCGGGCTCTTCTAGTCCTGGTGGCACCCGGGTAGAGCTCTGGTTGGTCGATGCCTTCAACTCATGACAGGCGGATACTAACTCCCTGCTGAGTCTGTTCCCACGGGGAAGTCCCAACTGCTCCCGCCCAGCCCCTGCAGCTCCCCGCCATCTCTCCAGCCGGCCGCTCAACTTCCATGTTCCTAAAGCAGGACCCCAGGCACAGTTCCTTGTGGGTCCTTCCGTGGCAACGCTAATGGATGGTTTGTGTTCTGAAATGTCCTCCTTTGGATCTGACTCTTTCATTTCAGGTCTAGTCTCCCAGTCTGGAAAAAAAAAAAAAAAAAAAAAACTAAAACAAGATGCAAATACATGCAGTTAGAATGCTGGGAGTAAGGAATTTCCAAAGCAGGAATGGGTAAGTGAAACTGAAGACAACCATGCATACAAGGCACCAATGGAGTTAGCAGATAACCTGTTGAATGGAAAGAGCGGGAGGAGGGAAGCAGTAGTGATTTAATGAGGTAGAATCGACATATGAGGTAAGCAGAGACAACAAGCAATGTCCCTTTGGAAGAAGGATGAAAAGGGCAGCTGGGAGCTCAAAAGAGACACACCTAAAGAGAAACAACAGAAGTGAGTGGGCCTGGAGGGACTGAAATACGAATGAATGCGACAGGCTCCTAATTTGTCAGGTGGTTTCCTCCTCAATCGATCCTGAATATACCCAACCAGTTATGCTTCTCAAGCACTGATTTTTATTAGAAATAAAAATAAAATAACAGCTATCATTTATACAGATTGTCTGGTTATTCTCCACTTCCCCTGAACCACTGTCCAACCTCCACCCTTCTCTGTTCTGTCCTGTTCACCAGGAGGCTGACTTTGTCCACTGGCTTCCTGTGCATTTGGCCAAAGGTGGTTTCCTACAGGAGACTGGAGGGTGGCATGAGAGAGAAGTGGGGTATTCTTTTTCCCACTTCTCTGGCTGTGGCTACACCCTGAGACTCCAGTTATCACTGGGTGCTGGATACCAGATTCCCTCCCCTGTCCTCAAGCTTCCCACTCTCACTAGTCTTTGGTGCCTCACTGTGCCCCAGTTGTTCCTCCAACCCTCCCGCACCTGTGTAAGTCTCCTCAGGTCTCCCACAGCATTAACAGTGATCAGTGTAAGGTTCCTCAGTTTCCCCGCTTTCTTTCTGTGACCTGATCAAAAATCACAGAGTGCCTTGCTCTCTCTGGGATCCAGCCGGCTACAGGGGTTTTTTTTCCCAGCAGGCTTGAAACAAAACTGGCCTTGAACATTCCCAGGCATTTACAGAGGTATCTAGGTTGTTACCCAAAACACTGAAAGAAACTGGCCCTGGCCCTGAACCAAATTCCTTAAGCCCTCATATAAATTCCACACCCTGAGCCCTCGTTGCAGACATACCTGGGTAGAACATCCCTTTCTCTTGCTGTCCATTGCGAGGATAAGCTGCAGCCCTATGTACATAAGTTTACCTAATAAGTGCTTTGGACTGATCAACTTGGCATTTAGTGCTCCTTTCTTTAGAATCCCAACTGGCTCCATCTGGGACACTCCCTCATGGGAACTGCCCTGCTGCTGCTTTTGGGGTGATTCCAGCTGCAGGTTCGGCAGGATGAAACACATACCATCTGTCTCATCTGAGCACCACGATAATCATGTGACTTGGGGATTACGGTTGTTTTTGTCAGCCCCATTACTCCACTCTTCACTGCCTGGTTCTTGGGCAGCAGGTGTTCCGTGGAGCTTGAGTCTAGACCATCTTCTCTTTGCCTGTCTATCCCTCCCTGGGTAATCACATCCATGCCCACATCTTCAGTCACCTTCTATGTGTATCCTATTAATTTCTAAATTTCAGTTTCCAGCCTAGGTGGCTCTCCTGAGTTCCAGAATTTTCATCATGGGATTCATTCTCAACATTTAAACACTGTTATCTACATGGCTGCTTTCTCATGAAAAATGTGAAGATGTGGCCATATGTAGCCCTCATTCCTATTAGGCTGCAAAAAGCTAGAGTGGGGCAGCAGCTGGTCCTCCCACCCCCAACTAAATGCCCTACCTGGTGGCCCCCACGGCCTCTTGAATTTGATACCCTTCCCCTGAATCATGCTGGGCCTTCGATGCCACATTAAGGGAGTCTGGATTTAAACATTACCCGTATGCTGACGATGCCCAAACGTGTATCTCCAGCCCAGACTGCCTCTCAGCGCTCTGCCCAGAAATATTCAAAACTCTACTTGGCATCTTTCTTAGATATCCCAAACCTGACACTTTTGATATGAAACTTGTGATTTCAGAACCTCCCCATCAAAAAAAAAAAAAAAATTTTAAGACATGTCAAAGACTTAGTAAAATAAGTCAAACACAATAGGACAAGTATTGTATGATCCCATTTATATGAGGTAACTAGAGGAGTCAAATTCGTAGAGACAGAAAGTAGAATGGTGGGTGCGAGGGGCTCAGGGAGGGGGGAATGAGGAATTAGTGTAAAAACGGCAGACTTTCAGCTGGGGAAGATGAAAAAGTTCTGGAGATGGATGGTGCTGATGGTTGCACAACAAAGTGAGTGTTCTTAATGCCACTGGACAGGGTGTACTTAAACTAAAAATGGTTAAAATGATAAACTTTATGTCCCATGTATTTTAGCACAGTTTTTAAAATAAAATTTGAAAAAAGAAGAGACTTAGCAGTCATCCGTGATTCACCCCTTCCCTCCCACCACCAGATTGCTGTGGACCACAAAACAGCCGAAAGCAGACCAAATCTCTCCATCAGCACTGCCGACAAGCTAGTCAGCCAACACGGATATCTTGCCTGAAACAAGGCAACATGTGCCTATCTGACCTCCCCATCCCAGTCTTACCTCTCCACAGTGCATTCTCCATTGAGAGGGATCTTCTGAAGAGTCAGATAAACCCTCTGGTGGCTTCCCCAGTGCACTGAGAATAAAGCCAGCATCCAGGCCTGCCTCTAAGGCGTCTCCCACCACCCCTCCCTCACTCCATGTTGGCCATACTCACCCTCTTGTTCCTTTCTTATAGACTTGTCCACACCACGTTCTTCCTGCCTCGGGGCCTCTGCACCTTCTGTCCCCCCAGACCTTCCCAGGACTGTACCTTCTTATCCTATCCTTCAGACCTGTTTCCATTAATCCTCCATGGGAGGACTTCCCCACCCATCCTATGTAAGAAAGGAAGAGTCCTCCTGCTTTTCTCTTGCTGGTTTTGTCATGAGAACTCAGGTCTGTGGCAACTATACTTTACTTGTCCCTTGATCTGTTTACTGTCTCCCCCAGGACAAGTGAGCTTCATGAGGACAAAGACCTCGCCCATCCTCAGCTCCTCCTGCAGTGTCCGGCACCCAGAAGGCACCAGATAAACTTTTATAGGGCATTTTCAATGCCCCCAGCACAGTGTTGAGCAATTTACACAGATCTTCTCTTGAGATCCTGACAACCATATATGAGTTGGGTACAGTCGTGGACTGTTAATATGATCTCCATTTTACAGATGAAGAAATGGAGATTCCAAGAATGAAGTCAGATACTCAAGGGCACAGCATTTGAGTCAGCCCTGGCAGCCTGACCCCTAAGCCATGGGTTCGGTAGGTGATTCACTATGTTGTGATGCATCATTTTCTCATCCTGGGGGAAGAGTTGAGAAATACTTAACGGAGAATGATCATGGTTTAGTGACCTTGGGATGTGGCACAATGTCCAGATGCTAGGATAGATGGTGGAGTGGGCCTAAAGGCTGTGGAGTAAGCATGGGTAACTTCTGAGTGGACAGAAGAAAGGAAGGGTGATGGTGAGTTTGCTCTGGGGCCAATGGAGTCTGAGACACCAGGGGATATAAACTGGCACATAGCTGCAGAGACTAGAGGGGATAAAGAGTCTTGGTTGTTAATACAGTAGTTCCCCCTTATCTGCAATTTCACTTTCCATAGTTTCAGTTACCCATGGTCAACCAAGGACCAAAAATATTAAGTGGAAAATTCTAGAAATAATTCATAAGTTTTAAATTGCATGCTGTTCTGAGTAATGTGATAAAATCTCTTGCTATCCAGCTCTGTCCCACATGTGAATTATCCCTTTGTCCAGCATATCCACGCTGTAAATGTTACCAGCCCATCAGTCAGTTGGTAGCAGTCTAGGCTATCAGATGAAAAATTAGAATATGCAAGGATTCAGTACTATCTGCAGTTTCAGGCATCCACTGGAGGTCTTGGAACGTATCCCCCATGGACAAGGGAGGAGTGAATATTAACTCAAAAAGCCAGGACAGCTGGAGGCAGAATGCCAGCAAGGGGGAAGGGGGAAAGGAAGCAGCCTCTCTTTCGTAGATTAAAACCCTTCAGTGTTGGAATATTCAAATTTCTCTCTTCAGATTATTTGAGGTTACACAACAAATTGTTAACTGCAGTCACCCTATAGTGCAACAGAACACTAAAATTTATTCCTCCTTTCTCCCTGTATTTTTGTATCCTCTGACCAACCTCTCCCTATCCCCCCTACTCTTCCCAGCCTCTAGTAACTACTATTCTACTCTCTATTTCTATGAGATTAACTTTTTTTTTAGCTTCCACATATATCTCTACAACTATTATGCATCAATTAAAAAAAAAAACCCTCAGTGGAGATCTCTTGCAGAACAGCAGACACACAGCTCTTAACCACAAAAAGCTGTGAAAACACAGCTCAACATCAGACAGAATACGATGACCTGTCACATCACTTTTCACCAAGCAGGTCAGTAAAGGAGCAAAAAGTCTGGTGATGTGCTTGGCTAGCAATGGTGCATGAATGTACTGTCAAGGGAAATGTTACAAGGATGGTTTCTGCAGAGAGCACTTTGACAAAAAGCTACTAATACGCAAAATGCTATTCATTCCTTTTGATCCAAATGTGAGTGCATTTTTTTTCATGTTGCTAAATCTCTTGTACTTCATAGTTTCTTTTTCCATTTTCTGTCTTTCTACGATTGTTTCTGAGTACAAAGTAACTCGAGCTTGTCATTAAAACATCAAGCATCAAAAAAAAAAAAAAAAACCAGGAAACAATAGTCTTCTGTAATTTCACTCATCTGAGTTAACAGTTTGATTTATATTTTTTAGGATTTTTCCCTCAATGCATACCTTTAAAAAAAATACAAACAACAAACCTGAACACACTTTTGTTCACCCAAATGAGGCTTCTGTCCAAGATAGAGTAACAAGGACAAGATTCCCTCTAGCCTGAAACAACCAGAAAAAAAAGGACAAAATATATAAAACAATGGTATTTAAGACACTGGACATCAG